GCTCCGCTGCCGCTGCGTCAGGCCCGCCCGGCCGCATTCCCGCCTCACCACCTCCTCCCTCCGCCGGCCGCAGTCCCCGAGCCGGGTCCTGCGCGTCCTTCCTAGCGCCGAGCGACCCCGATCTACGCACGGGGATTCAGCCCCCAAGAGGACCGGGAGCGGGTGTGAGCCCCAGGGCGACAGGAGGCCCATGCACGGCCACTCCGTGAACACCAGCAATGTAACCATTCTCTGCACTGGTGGGACTGTGAAGCCGCCTTGCTTTATTCTGTTATTCTATTCGCATTCTGTAAGAAATCGAGAGCCTCCCTTAGCAATTTCGCCTTTTTGTCTCCCAACACTCACATGGTTCTTGACTGCAGTGCCGGAAGGGTCCCTACCTGCCCTCCCCCTCAGGCTGAGCCCTGCATCCCAGCCGCCCGGACTCCGGGAGTCCAGCAAAGATGTGTGGCTCACATTGCTTTAGACTAATCCCTGGGGACCCGGAATGCTCTGCCCTCCCCAGGAATTGTCTTCGCCGGGGTCGCTTAGGTCCCTGTGTGTGCCAAAGGCCTGGGCAAGGGATGGCTGTGCAAGCAAAGTAAATGGAGCCTGGAGGTGCAGGCTGGAGGATTTGCGTTGGGGAACTGGCGGAAGCCCTCTTGCCCCGTTGTTCCCACGCCGCCCCCTTTAGCCAAGTACTGTGGCGGGAACCCAGGGGTGCTTTACTGTTGCAGAAAACAGACCTAACACGGGAAAAACGAAACTGAGAAGATGAGGGGGCAGTTTATTTCGCCGGTGGGCTTGTGACTAGGATCTTTCCGAGAGTCTCCGCCGGCCAGGCTTCAGGGCTTTTAAAGGGAAAGTAAGCTGGGCGGTACAAAGGCAGATTCGGCTTATATGATTGGAGGGTTAGGTGACGTCGTGGGTTGCTGAAGGAGTTTAAGCATTTCAGGTTACATCATAAGGCTATCAGTTATACAAAGGAAGAAATGTCCTGTTACATTTTAAGTTACATTGTAAGGCCATCAGTTACACAAAGGCAGCAAGGAAAGGTGTTTATATAAAGGAAGAAATGTTCTGTTAACTAGGCCTCCTGGACATGTCCACCTGGATCCTGCAAGCTTTCTTGGAAAGTCTTTATTTAAAATTTTAATTTGCCCTTCCTTATCAATGAGCTACAACCTTGGTCTTTTGGGGGGTCGGGGGAGGAGGGACGACAAGACCTCAACAATTTGCCCAGGCTGGCCTTCAAATGCAACCCTCCTGCCTCTGGCTCCCTAGTATCTCTTCCTTGAGTAGAACAGATCTCTATGAAGGAATGTGTGCTAGTGAAAGGGCTAGCTGTTGATGTCAGTTCCTTCAAGGTTTTCCACGCCTGCACAGAGCCACTTAGCCACAAGCACAGCCTGTCCTTGAAGGAGGAAACCTGGAAACTTGGCCTCTTGATGGGGTCTGATGGATCTGGTGGGGTTGGAGGCAGTGCCGAGAAGGTGGGGCTGGGACCTGCATCACCCTTGGGCTTCCCCTTTTGCCTGCTCTGCTAGCTTCCCTGATCACTGCTAAGCACACTGAAATACCTGGCTAGACTGGGGTCCCCAAATCACAGCACTTCATCTAGACGGCAGGGGTGGAGCATATGTTACCTAGCATTGTTAAAGGTGGATTATAGTTTTTAAACACTGAGATAATAGCGTGTGTGTGTGTGTGTGTGTGTGTGTGTGTGTGTGTGTGTGTGTGTTTATCTCCTGGCCTTCAAATGAGAGATCAGAATGGAGGTTCTGGAAAGATATGGAGTTGATTCTCTGCCCAGCAACTGACTGACCTTGGGGAACTTGGGAAAATCTCATCATTTCTTTTCTCAGCTTCAAAGTGGAGAGCAGCTGTGGTTGCCTTTGCCTGTGGCACAGGGGCTGAGAAGCTGGGATGGGGCAAGGCCTGTGGAGGAGAGGTTACATTCCTAAGATGTGAGGCACCATTTGCAGATATGAAGAGGCAGCTTTGTTGAAAATTGCAATAATTGGTTGAAACATCTCTCCTGACCCAAAGAGCAGACAGTCAAGGGAACAAAGAAAGGCCGCCCTCTAACCCAGGCAAGCTCTCACGGCAGAGCCACACTCTTGTCCACCCTGTGATGGAGCAGGATAGATATCCCAAAAATAAACACACACAAATCTAATCAAGTGGTACGTGACAGAGGAAGTCAATCAATGAAGAAAGGACAGTCTCTTAAACAATGATGCTGAAAAACCAAGATCTACCTACCAAAAAATCCACATTATAAATCCTACATTGTTCACAAAAATTAACCCAAGATAGACTGTAGATCTACATGCAAAACATAAAACTTCTAGAAAATAACATGAAAAATTCTAGGCAATCTTGAGTTTAGTTGTAAATTTTTATTTAAATATCAAAAAGCATGAGGCAGGCCAGAGAGCTCAGCAGATTAAAGCACCTGCTTAGGCAGAAGTAGGTTCACCAGGATGTGAACCTCAGCATGCCATGCCACCCCAGCCTCCAGGGTGCACTGAGACCCTCAGACTGTACATGGTAGCGTGCACCTGTAATCCCAGCATTTGGAGGTTGGAAAACAGGAAGGATCACTATGAGTCCAATCTGTGTAGTGAAAACCTTAGACCCTATACTAAATATATTTTTAAAATAAAGCATGATATGTTAGTTTCTACAGCGATGTATGCATACCCATGTTTGTAGCAGTACAATTCATAAAGCAAGCAACCTATACATCTAATAACAGAAAAATGGATAAAGAAAGCATGGTATTAACCGAGCCAGCCAAATAGCTCAGGGCCAGCCAAATAGCTTAGCGGATTAAAACTCCTGCAAGCAGGCGCAGGGGCCAGGGGTTCAATACCCAGGCCTGCCATGCCAACTCCACCCCTGGGGCTCACTGAGACGGCAATTGAGACGGGACGTGGTGGCATGCATCTGTAATCCCAGCTCTTGGGACGCTGTAAACAGGTGGATCACTAGGAGTCCGATCTAGTAGTGAGACCTTGAACACCCTGTACATCATTCCCTAAAATATATTTTTTAAAAAAGAAAGAAAGAAAGCACAGTATTTATGCACAAAGAAATACTATTTTGCCATAGAGAATAAACCTGACTTATCTGTAGGAAAATAATATACCTTAAGATGATAATGCTAAGTAAATCAGACATATAAATATCATGTGGTTTCTCTTTTGTTGTTGTTGTCTTTTTGAGACAGGGTCTCCCTATGCAATTCAAGCTGGCCTTGAGCTCACTTTGTAGCCCAGGCTGGTCTTGAACTTGCAATGATCCTCCTACCTCAGCCTCCTGAGTTCTGGGATTATAGGCATGCCCCACCACACCCAGTTTAGCATGGTTTCTCTTATATGCAAAATTCAATATATACAGTGCAAAATGAAAGACAATAGGAAGAAAGAGAGAAAAAAGTTATTGTAATCCAGAGTGAGATAATGTATCCAAAAATGTGTCCTAACTTAATATAACTGTTTCATTTGATTTACATAAATTTTGGCCTATTAGTCTGGATGATAATCTGTATATACAATGATTAACTTTATAAGAACATATATAAATGAATCTTATTCTGGAAAAAAGAGAGAAAATGGAGGGAAAGATCTGAGATGTGTTATGTATTATGGTTATGTACTGTATCTCAGTTACTCTTCTCTCATTGCTGGGACAAATACTTGGACACACAAAATAAGGGACGGAAAGATTTACTTAGCTCACAGTTAATGGAGGTTTCAGTCCATAGTCAGGTGGCTATGATAGTCAAGGTGATGCCTGTTTAGATTATCAGTCACCTTGAAAGAGCCCTAAAGAGTCACTAACCCAACCCCCAACAGAAAGAGAACCTACCCCATATTCATGCCCACTTGCCACATGATTTGCTTCTTCATTTGCTGCTGGATTTAATCAACTGTACCTGAGCAGTGGTACTTGTAATCTCATTGGTCGACCATAGTTTTGTTCCAGCTCATGCCCACCTAAGTGAGTCCCCAGGTTCTACACCACCTTAGACCCACCTCACCACCTGATATTACTCTATAAAAGTCCCTAAAACACACCACTTCATGGGGACAACCTGCTTGGTGCGCTCTCTCTCTCTCTCTCTCTCTCTCTCTCTCTCTCTCTCTCTGATAGAAGCTTTCTTTCCCCCAATAAATATATTCTGCTCTTAATTTCCATTTGTTCCTAAAATTCATTCTTCAGTTTTATAGAACACGCACTCATCCTAGCTACGTTTCAGGTCGGGAGTTTCCTTCCCCTATACCATTACCACGTAGTTCCTTGGGAAATGGTTCACCAATCAAAAGTATCCTGGCTCCTTCTTGCCTTGAACAAAGAACTGGATGAGACAAGCTGCAAATAGTGTCGAAAGTTTATTTGAAAAGTACAGAGTGAATAGATGTGGAAGAAACATGCTCTACAGAGTGAACTTGGGCAAAAAAAAAAAAAAAAGAAAAAACGGTAAAAACATAGAAGTACATGCCTCATCTGAGAAACACAGGACAAGCTATCATGAAAACTCATGTACAATAACAGTTTTCCATGCTGGCTGATCTTCTTTTATGTCACTTACATCTCATGAGAGCTCAGGAGAAGTGCCA